GTTTCTATCTCTCCCTCTCCCTTCCTCTCTGAAATCAATAATAATCTATTTTTTTAAGTCAATATAGTGCTCTGATTATAGTATAAGGAGAAATCCATGTATAATAACATCAACTGGGTTTTGCCTGGGCACGGGCTGTGCTTGGGCTGACTGGCAGAGTCCTTGCAGCAGTGAGAAAAGCCAGGGGCACACCCAAAGGACCGCTCAGACCCCGTCAGGCGCTGCCATTGGAAATGAGATTTTATGAAAGGCTGAGTAGTGCCAGGTAAAGGTCAGAGCAAATCAAAGTATAATCTTCTGTCAATTTGCATGGTTTGAACTCCTGGAACATTATTAAAGCCATGCAAAAATGTCCTTGTGCTTGTATTAGTCAGCGCGGGCAGCCATGACAAATCCCACAGACAGGGCCCTTCAGCCACAACATTCACTGCTCACAGTTCTAGAGGCTGGAGGTCCGAGATCGGTGCCAGCATGGCTGACGGGTTCTGAGGAGAGCTCACTTTCTGGTCTCTGTGTCCTCACTCTGGTGTCTCCTCGTAGAAGGACATATATCCCATCGGATGAAGGCCCTGCCCTCAACCCCAATTAACCGTAATTACTTCCTAGGTCCAAATGCTGCCATACGGGAGGCGGGGGTAAGGGGAGGTGAGGACATGTGCCCAGGGTCAGGGGAGGCCAGCGGAAGGTCAATGGGGAATAAAAGAAGATATATTTGTAATACTTTAAACAAACAAAAAAAAATTTTAAATGCTGCCACACTGGGGTTAAGGCCTCAACATGTGGATTCAGGGAGGGATGTGAGGGAGGGGGCACACAATTCAGTCCACAGCAGTGGTTCAGTGTAAAACACCTTAAGTTCTAGGTTGGGGTCATTAACAGGTTTGTTGTTGTTATTGTTGTTGTTGTTAACAGGTTTTTACCCCCTTGAATGAATGCCAGTTCTTTTTCTTTTTCTTTTTTTAAAAATATATTTTATTGATTTTTTATAGAGAGGAAGGGAGAGAGATAGTTAGAAACAACGATGAGAGTCATTGATCAGCTGCCTCTTGCCCGCCCCCTACTGGGGATGTGCCCACAACCAAGGTACATGCCCTTGACCAGAATGGAACCCGGGACCCTTCAGTCCACAGGCCGATGTTTTATCCACTGAGCCAAACCAGTTTTGGTTCTTTTTGTGCAGATCATCCCCGTACTTTGCTGGGTGGGAAGCCTGACTCACCCAGAGCACAAGCCACTAGAGCACCCTAACCCTGGGACCATCAAAAGTGGGCAGAGACCCGAGTCACCCCGAGCTGTGGTCAACCAACTGAGGGCCACTGTCCATGGGAGGTCTCAGGAGACCCTTCGTGGGGACGGCATTTGCTGGAGAGGATGCAGCGACCAACAGTTCCTTTATATTTGTCCTCCTTGGGAATTACCGCGTCTCCTCGGTTGGTGGGGTCTTTGGGGAGATTCTCAGCGACGACATCTTCAAATACTGTTTCAGCCCCATTCTCTCTCTCTCTCTCTCTCCGCCTGGGCCTCTAACTGCACATGCATTACAACTTCCACTGTGTTCCAAGTGTTGTTTATGTTCTTTCTATGATTTTTTAAAAAAATATATATATATTTTATTGATTTTTCACAGAGAGGAAGGGAGAGAGATAAAGGGCTAGAAACATCGATTGAGAGAGATACATTGACCAGCTGCCTCCTGCACACCCCTCACCGGAGATGTGCCCGCAACCAATGTACATGCCCTTGACCAGAACTGAAGCTCTTGAGTCTGCATAAAGCTCTATCCACTGAGCCAAACCGGTTTCGGCTTTCTATGATTTTTAAAATTCACTTTCTCTGTGGTTGGGTTTGCTATTTCCTACTAATCACTCTCCCAGTTCACTCATTCTGTCTGTGTTCAATCTCCCGTCACACCCAGCCCTGACTGATTCCTTTCAGATGTGTTTTTCTCCAGAGTCTCCTGCGGAGCTGGGAGGCAGTTCCCTGGCACACCTTTATACAGTGCCCTTTGACAATGCGCATCCACATTCTTGGAAACGTGCCCACCCACTAATCCCCAGATCCCACTGCTAGAAACCTGAACTTCGGAGATAATTATGCAAGTGTGTGGGCTGTGGGCCAGAATGCACCCCCAGAGCTGTTCAGAGCGCAGGAGTGGGTGAATCCCCCATAGAGCCAATTGCCAGCACAGCTCCTCGAGGTGCTCCGTCCTGTCCAACGACACAGCTCTTGGTCCCAGTGTTGGAGCAGAGCGCTGTATACTGACTGAGGTTTGGAGGCCAGATTGTTTTTTAAAAAAATGTCTGTGAACATTGGAGACGGATTCGATTCGCTTGACAGCACTCAGCTACAAGCATGGAGAGTGAGCCGAGCTGAGCGGAGGAGCCACTAGCTCCCTTTTCATGGGAACCCTGACCCTCCAACCCCACCCAACCAGCCCGCCTCAGCCAGTGGCCATTAAATGAGACTCTACTGTAGTGAAAGATCCATTGACTGAAAGAATCCACTCTTTAAGTCTTTATTCATTTTAGAGAGAGAGAAAGGGAGAGATAGAAACATCAGTGATGAGAAAGAATCATTGATCTGCTGCCTCCTGCATGCTTCCTATTGGGAATGGAGCCCACAACCCGGGTATGTGCCCTGGCCGGAAATTGAACCATGACCTCCTGGTTCATAGGTCAATGCTCAACCACTGAGCCACACGGGTGGGGCTTCAGAAATAATTTTAATGGCCGAAACCGGTTTGGTTCAGTGGATAGAGCGTCGGCCTGGAGACTGAAAGATCCCAGGTACGATTCCGGTCAAGGGCATGTACCTTGGTTGCGGGCACATCCCCAGTAGGGGGTGTGCAAGAGGCAGCTGGTCGATGTTTCTTTCTCATCGATGTTTATAACTCTCTATCCCTCTCTCTTCCTCTCTGTAAAAAATTAATAAAATATATTTTTTAAAAAAGAAATAATTTTAATGAAAAAATGAACTTAAAAAAATAAGTAAATTTTCATAGAAAATACACTGGCCACCCTTATAATCCTGGTGTTGACTCAGGTATCGCAGATAGGTTGACATTACATTTTGAACAGCTCTTCACAGCGCCTCTTCTAGTATCTGGATGGGAAGCTGCTTGATTAATGAATCGATTAATAAAGCTAATTAGGTCTTCAAATCTACTCAATTGAATTTTGTTTTTTTGTTTTTTTTAACAAGATTGCCAAACTTGTAGAGCATGTTTATGACTTTATTTGAGCCAAACTGACAACAATTGCTGGAATGGAAAATCCTAAGGACTGAGAATATGCTCTGGAAAAGGGCAGCTTTCCAGCTCATTAGAATCAAATGAGACCTAAGGAGGCCCCACCCCATGGAAGAATGCTTTTGAAAGGGACAGCGGAAACCAGCTTGGCTCAGTGGATAGAGCCTCGGCCTGCAGACTGAAAGGTCCCAGGTCTGATACTGGTCAAGGGCGTGTACCTCGGTTGCCGGCACATCCCCAGTAGGGGGTGTGCATGAGGCAGCTGGTTGATGTTTCTCTCTCATTGATGTTTCTAGCTCTCTATTCCTCTCCCTTCTTCTCTGTAAAATATAAATAAAATATATTTTAAAGCCCTAACTGGTTTGGCTCAGTGGATAGAGCTGTCGGCCTGCGGACTCAAGGGTCCCAGGTTTGATTCTGGTCAAGGGCATGTACCTTGGTTGCGGGCACATCCCCAGTGGGAGGTGTGCAGGAAGCAGCAGATGTGATGTTTCTAACTCTCTATCCCTCTTCCTTCCTCTCTGTAAAAAATCAATAAAATATATTAAAAAATATATTAAAAAAAAAGAAAAGAAAGAGGAAACAGACAACAACAACAGCAAAGTAATATATTTTCTTTTTTTTCTTTTTTTTAAAAATATATTTTATTGATTTTGTACAGAGAGGAAGGGAGAGAGATAGAGAGTTAGAAACATCGATGAGAGAGAGTCATCGATCAGTTGCCTCTTGCACACCCCCTACTGGGGATATTCCCGCAACCAAGGTACATGCCCTTGACCGGAATCGAACCTGGGTCCCTTCAGTCCCCAAGCCGATGCTCTATCCATTGAGCTAAACCGGTCCCAGCATATTTTCTTTTTTTAAAGAAAGAGGAGACAGGGCATGGGTGATGGGGTGGGCACTGGCCACATGGTCCAGCCAGGACACCCTGAGGCAGAGGGCCAGGACTGAGGGCTGGGCGCCCTGGTGTCCCCAAGTGTCTCATGGCGTTGCGGATGTCTGCCCTGGTGAGCTCCCAGTCCCATGGCAAGTGCGCCCCGGCGGGGCAGGGACCTAGGCCTGGGCCCTTGGTTCCAGGGCGCGTGGGAAACTCATGAGTCCTCCCGCGAGTCTGCGAGGTGAAACCAGGTGTGGATCGGACGCCGGTTCGGGGCCCTCCCGGGGGGCTCGGCGGCGGAACTGAGCGGCAACCTGGCCCTGCAGGTGCCGCGGGGCAGCCCGGTCACTTCCAGCCGCGCCCGCCCCGCGGCCACTCTGCCCGCGCCCTCTCCCATGGAGCTGCGCCCGCCGGGCCCTGCGTGGCTGTTCCCGGCAGACGGGTTCGTGGTCCTGGGGCGCCCGCAGCGTGGTGGGGCCGGAGGCTGGAGGCGGGGCGCGGGCTGGCGGTCCGGATGAATGAATCGGTGCCTCGAATGAATGGGCGCCGCTGCAGTGCCCTTCCTGGTAAAATCAAAAAGGGCAAACCCAGCCTTTTTTTGGGGGGGGGGGGGAGTAGTTGCCCCCCTCTACGAGGCAGGAGCGCAGAGTGACGTCGGTCGCCTAGATCCGGAGCGGGGAGTAGGAAATAGGGAATGTCTGGGGGCAGCGTGGGAGTGGGCGTGTGCAGTTTCGCTTTTTCCGGTCCCGGGGGCGGGGCCTAAGGGACGAGGGGGGCGGGGCGTGTTCTTAGCCACGCCCCTATCACACCACGCACTCTTATCCCCGCCCCCGCCCCGCCCCCGGCGCGCTCTTAGCCCCGCCCCGGCGCAGCGCCGCGCAGGACCCGCAGGTTTCCAGCCGCGCTGAGGTCACAGGCAGGCGGCCTGGCGGCGTCCGAGCCGAAAGCCTGCGCCGAGCGGGGCCAGAGCGGAGCCCGAGCCGAAGCGGAGCCCGAGCCCCTCCAGCAGGGAGAGGCCGACCCTGCAGGCCGGCATGGAGGAGGAATGCCGGGTGCTCTCCATCCAGAGCCACGTCGTCCGCGGCTACGTGGGGAACCGGGCGGCCACGTTCCCGCTGCAGGTAGGCTTACGTAACCCGCGGGGTCCCGGTGGCCCCCGCCGCCCGCGTGACCTTGGCCGGCCCCCGTCTGGCCAGGAGCACCTGGCGGGTGCCTGCGGGGAGACAGACGGGCTCCGGGGCGCCGGGTTCGGCGGAAGCCTCCGTGCTAGCCTCGCGCACCCGGAGGTCCCCACCCCTTCCCGCTCCGCTGCCTGACCCCGGCAGACGGGTTCCCCGTGGGCGAGACGATGCCCCGCCGTGGCCCGGACCGTGCCCCAGAGCGAACGAGGCAGGATGGGCAGGTGCTTGTAGTGCTCACCTGCCGGGCGCAGTGCTCTGCCCTTGCCCGCTGTGGGTCAGACTGCCGGGACCGAGGAGGTGGTGGAGGAGAAGGAGGAGGAGGAGGAGGAAGCTCACGGTGAGGCCCCGCCTGCTAGGATGCCCGTCCCCCCCACCCCCATGTGGGCCCCCACACTGCCGCTGACCATTCCGGGAGGTGTCGCTGGAGGGAGATGGGGCAGAGAAGGTCTGCCTGCTGGAGCTGGCTCTGGAGAAGAGCCCACAGACCAGTTCAGGCCCCTGCAGGGTTTGGCAAAGAAGCTGCTCTTTCAACCTGTCAATCTTTCCTTCTGGCCTCCCTTCCGGTCTGCCCTCCTGCTTCATATGGAGGGGCTCACCATCTCCTGTGGCTCGCTGGGCATGCCCTGTTTCATATCGCAGCCCTCGGAGGGGCAGGAGGAGGCCTGGGGGCAGGGAGGTGGGCCGCTGGACAACAGGCAGCACCACAGGGCCAGGCACCTTGGCAAGGTGGTGATCCTTCTGGACTGCCCGCCTTTGGTTTGATGTTTGAGCAAGGAACAGGTATGGCAGGCCCCAGGGCTGGCCCCATAGGGCATGAAGGTATGGCAGCGATGCAAGCTGCCATACCCAAAGCCGGAAGAGAAAATAGTGGAGCAAACACTTGCAGGTGGACAGGTTCAAAGGTTCAGGTTCAAAGGGATCAGCCGGCCCTAACCTGTGAGCAGCTCCACAGGTCTGGTCCTCATCCCTCCTGTTCTGGCCAGCAGAGGGCAGACTCGTGGGGTAGTCACCCTGCAAACTTGGGGTGTCCCACAGTCCCCACTCCTGGTCACTGCTCAATGCCTCCTCCCTCCTAGCATGTGGGGGGTGGGGGATGGGTGGAGATTTGGCAGGTAGGTGGCAGTCGGAGTAGGGCCATTGGAGTGGGACTGTGGGGGGAGGGCGGGAAGGGGGGAAGGTGAAGCTGCAGGGTCCCTGGGGCAGAGCAGGGGCAGCCCAGGGAGGTGGAAGCAGGAGGGCTTTGAGAACAGCCTGGACTTGGCAAAAAGTGTGCTGTTAGTTCCCCCCGGCTTCTTTGTGCCCTCTGCCCAGACCCCCTCCCTTTCTCTTTCCACGGGGCACACTGTGCCCTCTCTCTGCTCACCAGGGTCCTGCAGTGATGTCCCTGTTCTTGAACTCCCAGACACATGCCTGCAACTTCCACACCAAAACCTCCAATCATCCGAAGGAGGCTGCCCTGCAGGCCCCCAACCTGGAGAGGTGCCTCTTAAAGACAGAGCTGCGAGGGGTTTTTGTTTTTGTTTTTAAATATATATTTTATTGATTTTTTTTTTACAGAGAGAGAGATAGAGAGTCAGAAACATCGATGAGAGAGAATCATCGATCAGCTGCCTCTTGCACACCCCCCACTGGGGATGTGCCCGCAACCAAGGTACATGCCCTTCACTGGAATCGAACCTGGGACCTTTCAGTCTGCAGGCCGATGCTCTATCCACTGAGCCAAACCGGATTTGGCTGTTTTCTTGTTTTGTTTTGTTTTGAATATATTTTATTGATTTTTTACAGAGAGGAAGAGAGAGGGATAAAAAGTTAGAAACATTGATGAGAGAAAAACATCGATTAGCTGCCTCTTGCACAACTCCTACTGGGGATGTGCCCGAAACTAAGGTACAAGCCCTTGACTGGAATCGAACCTGGGACCTTTCAGTCTGCAGGCTGACGCTCTATCCATTGAGCCAAACCAGTTTCCCCAGGGCCTAGCATCTTTACTTAGGGACACGTGTGCTGGGGCTTATGGGACATAGGCTGGGGGACAAGGGTCATGTCATTTCCTTCCTCCTGTCATGGGCAGGGGTTGGTGACATATTCCCAGCCTTGCACTCCCCCTGCCCCCTTAAGGTTTCTGGGGCGTAGGGGGAGCGTGGCAGGATGGGGGTCATGGAAAGCAGGGACCATTAGGTTAGTGACCTTGAAGAGGCCACTTTCTCCATTGAGCCCTCTGGTGTTCAGTTGCCTCATGTACGAATGGGCCTGACGCTTTAGTTTCACTGGCGATGGGGACAATGGGGAGTGAGCACAGTTCCCGGAGGCGCCCCCTGTGGAGTGAGGTGGAGCAGCAGCACCCGGGGGTGTTTTGTTCCCCTCTCCCCAGGCACAGTCTGGCGTGCCTGAGGCACCCTCAGGAGGCGGGGCCCACTGTCTGGAGTGGATGTGGGTTGGGGCCCTACTTCCTGGTGTCCTTTGCCCTAATTACTTCCTCTTCCTGATGACAGAAATAAGATCTAGTGAGGATCTTATTTAGGAGGGGGAGAGGGATAAGGAAAGGGAGAAAGCCAGAGTGGGTCTCAAAACATGCTTCCTTGTTTCTACGTGGGTTAGAGTACCAGCCCACGCACCCAAGGGTCGCAGGTGTGATTCCCAGTCGAAGGCAAAGGCATGTACCTGGATCGCAGGTTCCATCCCGGAACCAGCCCTGTGCGGGAGGCAACCAACAATGTGTCTCTCTCATCGGTGTTTCTTTATCTCTCTCTCTCTTCCTCCCTCCCTTCCACTCTCTTAAAAAAAAAAAAATCAATGGAAAAAAGTACCTTTGATTGAGGATTAACAACAACAAAAAATAAAGAACACACTCCCTGCAAAGCTAGAATTCAAACAGAACTGTGTTAGTTCAAGTGGCAACAGATACCACAGTCAGGGGGCTCAGAGACAGATGTCTATTCTTGCCCAGTCCTGGAAGTCTGAGATCAAAGTGTGGGAAGGGCTGGTTTCTCCCCAGGTCTCTCTCCTTGGCGTGTGGAGGGAGCCTTCTTCCTGTGTCCTCACATGGCTGTCCCTCTATGTGTTTGTGTCCTAATCTCTTCCTCTTATGAGCATACCAATCATGCTGGATCTGGGCCGATCCTAGTGGCTTTGTTTAACCTCAGTCACCTCTGTAATGGCTCTATCTGCACTAATAAAAGAGTTAGATGCAAAGTGACCTTACCTTCGTGATGCCCACCAGCCAATCAGGAGGGGGTATGCAAATTAACCCAACAAAGCTGGTGGGTTAATTTGCGTCCACAGGTGCTGAGTAGCTGGGGTGGGGTGGTCCACATGCCCCAACTGCTCAGGGCCTCTGGGCAGCATGAGAAGGTGGAAAAGGGGTTCTGGCTGGAGTGAAGGCAGTGCCAGCAGCCAGGGAAAGGAAAGCCCATTCTTGCACAGATCTTCGTGCATCGGGCCTCTAGTCTTTAAATTTCATTCTGAGATGCTAGGGGTCAGGGCTTCCACACATGGATTTTGGGGGGGACACAGTTCAGAGCATGACAAGAACAGTTTCCAGAAATATCGTAGCTCATTGGACTCTTTCTGCACTTGCCCACTTAGAGTTTCTTTGAGCAGAGCCTGTGCAGGCTTGTTTTGGCCTCGACTTAGTTCCTGTGACGTGATCTGTTAGTACTGTGGGGTGCTCCCCACCCCCACGTCTGAGCACCGCTGGAGCAGGGAGAAGCAGGGAGAGGGGTGGGATGGCCTACTGATGGGGCTTGAACCAGCCTTTGCCACCACAGGACAGAGGCATGCTCCTGACCCGGGGCAGCTAGAGATGGCAAAGGCAGGCCCTTTCACAGCGGACCGTGGAAAGAGAACTTGGAAATGACTGGACAAGGTCGGCTCTGGCTGGGCCACACAGAATTGCCCTCTTGCCTCTCAGAGACGGGGACATGGGTGTGAGGGGGGCTGGGGAGGCTGCCTGTGGGGACTGATCTGTGTCCCCGGTCTCGGGGTTCCGGCCCTCTGAGCCTTCCCAAGCCTCATCTGCAAAGTGATGTCAACAGAACCTTTTGGGTTTGAGCAAAGAGTTTTTCACTTGGGCCCAACCGAGGACGGGGAAATAGGGCTGTGCACAGCAGTGTCGGGGAGTTGCATACACCAAGGACTCAGTGTTTCATCCGGTGGGGAGAATGTTCGGACACCACAGGGGCGTCCAGCTCCTGGAGCTGGGAGTCCTGGCAGGGTCTGAAAGCAGTCGTCAGTTCTACAGATTTACTGGGATGTGGAGAGAGCAGGTATCGCCTTCTCTAACTGCTATCTTTTCGTTGGAAATGCTGGAAATATACGTGGCCCGCCCCACGGAAGATGGCGGTTAGGAGCTGACTGTGCTCCCTTGGTTACGGGTCAAGTTGAGGCAGCTTAGACACCTTTTCCTTTTTCCGTGAGAACAGTCCTCGTGGTGCTCAGCGGGTGCCTGGCTCCCAGGGTGCCATCTGGCCGCAGCTCGGCCCAGGTGCTCCTCAGCCGGCTCGCAGCCTGTGCCGATCTGTGCCGGCTGGATGATTGAGAATCTGCAGGGCGGAGGCTCCCAGGTCCTGGAGCACTTTGGCCAGGTCCTGGAGCACACCTTCCACAGCCTGGGGCAGGCCGGCCGGTGGGCTCCACCTTCCACAGGCAGAGAAGAACGTTATCCAAGAGAGAGAAGGGCCCTGGCTCGTTTGGCTCAGTGGCTAGTTGGCTCTTGGACCAAGGGTCTTGGGTTTGATTCCCAGTCAAGGGCACATACATGGAGTGCAGGTTTGCTCCTCAGCCCCCATAGGGGTGCAGTAGAGGTGTGTATAGGTCCTATACTATAGGAGGCAACCAGTTGATGTATCTCTCATGTGTCTCTCTCTTCCTCTCTTCCCCTCCTTCTCTCTCTCCCTCCCTCCCCCCTCACTCCCACTCTTTCTGAAAAAGCAATGGAAAAAATGTCCTCTGGTGAGGATGAACAACAACAACAAAAAATGTGGGGGGAGCGGGAGAGAGATCCTGGTTTTGGATTCATTTCTGTGCTCCGGTGCAGCAGATCCATAGTACATTTTAATATTAGCCTTAGCAGAAAATCCGTTTAAATATGGTGTCACCAAAACAGGACAGAGCACCGGAGGCCCCAAAGACACTTTCTTTTAAAAAATATATATATATTTTTTTATTGATTTCAGAGAGGAAGGGAGAGGGTTAGAGAGAAAGGAACATCAATGATGAGAGAAGCACTGATTGGCTGCCTCCTGTATGCCCCCTACTGGGACAAGGGGGATTGAACCTGCAACCCGGGCATGTGTCCTTGGCTGCAATGGAACTGGGGTCCCTTTAGTACACAGGTCGACTCTCTATCCACTGAGCAAAACCAGCTAGGGCCCCAAAGCCCCGCCGGGGGTGGGGGGTGACTCCGTTTGGGGGGTGCAGAAAGCAGCCTCGTTCTCTGGCTCTACGGGCCGATCTGTGCAGGAGAGGTCCGCAGCGGGCGTGTTGAGAGGCCCCGGGGGAAATCTGGATTCCGACTCCTTCGGCGCAGTAGCTGGAGCAGAGGCTGGAGGCCCCTGTGGAAGCTCCAGGGACCTGGGCGTGTGAGCCCGCGTGGGCCTGTGGGCGGCTCCCTCCAGCTTCTCCTGGAGGCACCCTGGGTCCTCAGGGGCCACTGCAGGGCCACAGGGAGCCATTTCCACCTCTTACCTTTGAGAGCCCCCTGAGCCCCAGGGTGAACTTCTTCAGATGGTCTCTGGCCAGCCCCTTGGAAGATCTTTACATTTTTTCCCTTAGAGTTCCCAGGATAGAAGGGATTTGCTCTAGCAGAGTTGCATTTGGAAGATGCTGGAAGAATGGCATCCTACCCTTAAAAACAAACAAACAAACAAACAAACAAACAAACACCAGCTGGTTTTAGAGAGAGAGGAAGGGAGAGAGAGGGAGAGAGACATCGATCGCCTGCTTCCCATACCCTTCCCGTCCAGGGATCGAATCGGCAACCTAGGTAGGTGCCCTGACCGGGAACTGAGCCTGCAACCTTTTTGATAGACGAGAGGACTTTCCAACCAACTGAACGGGGCACCCTGCCCTTCAGTAGACGTAGTTCCTGTCTTAACTGTTTTCATGGTGACTCATCCTTAGCCAACAGCACAAGAGCTGCCACCAAGAAGCACGCCTCCCCCCACACCCCCCTCCTCTCACAGCCATCGGTCCTGGGAGTGACCCGCCGGGTTTGAGGCCTCCTGAGCGTCCTCCAGCCGCCCCCGCATGCTGTCCAGGCCGCACAGACCTGCTCTTCTCCTCTGTGCTGTGTGACTCCCCCATTTCCTTCTGGAATCCCCCGGTCTGATCCAGACGTGCTCCAGGCCTGGAAATTTCGCCAGGAAAGTCCAGAATTGCTTAATATCGTGATTTCTAACTTCTTTCCTAGTTTGGGGTTGGAGTTTCTGTTTCTCTTGGCTGGTCATTAGAGAAAAGCAAGAATTTAACTGGTTCCATTTTCTGACCTTTCCCCCACCTTGTGTGTGTGTGTGGTGTGTGTGTGTGTGTGTGTGTGTGTGTGTGGTGTGAGTATGATGTGCTGTGGGCATAGTTGTGCGTCTGTGTACATATGGGTGCATACGTGCTTGGACATGTGTATGTGCCGTTTTGTTGTGTGGTGTTGCTGTTGTCAGCGTGGGATCCTATCTTCTGCTTAAGTGACCGCCTCACGGGGAAGGAGAGGGAGCCTCTGCCAGCCGGCGGCTTCCCTGTTGTGGGGCCAATTGTCTCTGCAGCTTATGGGCTTGGCGGCCCCCTTTGCACACCCCACGGAGCTTTTGATCTGGAACCAGCCAGTTCCATTCAGAGTGATCTGGAAGAGGGACGCTGTGGGACAGTCAGGGGACTTTCTCAAGGAGAAAGGAAGGCGGCATGGGGACATGGGCCGCCCAGAGCAGACGCCCTGTTAACCATCTGTACGCAGGTGCCACCGGGAGCTTGGGTGAGACCCCCTCTCTTGGGGCTTTGCAGTGCCACCCAGCAGACCCTGACCCTGTGCAGGGCCTGGCGGGAGATGGAAGCCAGGGAGCGGGGTGCACCGCGCTGGTGTACATGGTCTGAGGGGATGGGGTCCAGGCTGTGACAGCTGAGGCAAGGGCGCACACGGGGGACAGCAGTGGCTGAGGCGGACCCAGGAGGCTGCTTCGTGGAAGATGGGGCTGTTTCCAGTAAGAGTTCCCATTGGAGACCAGAGGATGGGGGACGGGGACCAGCTGAATTGTAAGACTGACCGGTAACCAGTGGTGGGAGGGACAAGGTCGATCAGGATGACAACAGACACGTGACACTCATGTCCCCTCTTGTCAATTTTTTTTTAAGGGGGGGGGGCGGGGGGGGGGGGAGAGGGAGAGAGGGGGAGAGAGGGAGAGAGAGAGAGAGAGAGAGAGGGATATCAATGATGAGAATCATCCATCAGCTGCCTCCTGCACACCCTCTACTGGGGATCGAGCCTGCAACCCAGGCATGTGCTCTTGGCCAGAATCAAACCAGGACCCTTCAGTCCGCAGGCTGATGCTCTATCCACTCAGCCAAACCGGCTAGGGCTCCTCTTGCCTAATTCTGACTTTCTATGCACGTGGCTAAAAGTCTTGCAAACAAGCCACAGTGAGCTTCTTGAAGGCAGACACGCCTCCTGGTGCCAACAGGAACTTCCCCCCCTAGAGGAACCAGGTGGTCTGGATGGGGTGAGGAGCTGCCCTGGAACATTCAGCGTTTCTGGCGGCCGCTGTGATGAAGGCGGATCGCAGAGCTGCGCCTGCCTCGCAGTTAGCACAGTGCGTGGGTGATTCAGCCGCCAAGTGGGTGTGCAGCCGCTGGGGCCTGGGTCCCCACCGAGGCTGAGAGAAAGAGAAAGAGAAACATCAGCTTGCTGTTCCAGTGATGTATGCACTCATTGGTTGATCAGGTGCCCTGACCCAGGTTCAAGCCCACAGCCTTGGTATGGGATAACACTTGCATCTGGGATTTCTCTTTTTTCTTTTCCTTTTTTAAAATTCAAACATAGTATCTTTTTTTTAAAAAAAAAATTTATTGTTCAAAGTTTTACATAAGTCTCCACTCCCCCTCCCCCCCCCCCCCCCCCCCACTCCCATTGATCTCTCCCCGGCCGCCCCCACCCCCTTCCTCTTTTTTCTTAAAATGACAGTTTATATCTTTTTACTGTGTGCTGGCAACTGTTAATAAACTGGCTTGGGCCCTGGCTGGTTTGGCTCAGTGGACAGAGCGTGAGCCCGTGGACTGAAGGATCCCCAGTTTGATTCTGGACAAGGGCACATACCTCAGTTGCAGGCTCGATCTCCAGCCCCATATGGGGGCCGTGCGAGAAGCAATCACTTGATGCGTTTCTCTCTCTTCCTCTCTCTCTAAAAATCATAGAAAAATATCCTCGGGTGAGGATTAACAGCAGCAGGAAACTGGCTTGAGGTGGGGAGGGTGTGTGCCAGTGTCTGTGGTGTAAGTACTGCCCCCGGCTGAGCCCAGCCCCACAGTGACCTGGTGAGGCGAGGTAGTCACCACGTTTGGATTTAACTTGGTTCCCTGTGCGTGTGCTGACTCGGCTGTCAGTGCGGCGGATGCTGCCTGAAGCACAGCTGTGTGGCTCAGCACTCGGCCTCGGTCTTCGAAGCCAGGACGTGCGTGGAGTCCTCTGATCCAGATCGCTCTCCTTCCTGCCCATCAGCCGGAACCCCTGCTCTGAAGGACGTGTAATTAGACAGACGCGCGCGGACACGCTGCCTTTTGCTGCGGAACAGTCACCTCCGCGGGCTCCCCCGCACTCGGACGGGGTTGTGCACGGGGCACAGGCCCAGGGGCCCACAGCGCTGCTTCCCAGGAGCCCAGGGGTGAGCTCGACTCTGCTACAGAGCAACCTGATCTCACCCCGGGGACCGGCAGTCTGTCCTGCCAGCTGCTCTCCTGTGGGGTGGTCTTGTCAGCCAGCAGGGCGCACCGGCATCTTGGTCTGTTCCCATGTCCTGTGACTTATGTGCAGGCTGTCAAGGGGTGTGGAGGGGTGGAGGTTGTTGGTGCAGAGAAGGGGACGTTGCTGGAACAGAATGGCAGACGGAGGGGCGGGAGGCATTTCTGTCCTCTCCGTAGTTTCTTCCTTACACACTTTCTGCTGCTTCTTGTCTGTCTCACACTGTCTGTCTCTCAGTCTCTGTTTTTTTAAAATATATTTTTGTACAGTTCAGAGAGGGGGAGAGAGAGAGAGAAACATCAATGATGAGAGAGAATCATTGAGTGGCTGTCTCCTGCACGCCCTCTACTGGGGCTTGAGCATGTGTCCTGACTGGGAATAGAACCGTGACCTCCTGGTTCATAGGTCGATGCTCACACCCTGAGCCACACTGGCCGGGCTCTCAGTCTCTGTGTTTTTACGTGGTCTCTCTCTCTCGCTCTCTCTTGCCCTGTCTCTCTGGGAGGCTGTACAGAGGATGGACCACTTCTTCCCGGTGCCCCCTGTAGGCACTGAGATTTTCAGTTAAAGGCATGGGAAGTATCTGTTGAAGTCTCTCGTCTTGTGGGTCAGTGTCACAGAAAGATCCTGTTCTCCGTTGAGCTCGGGAAGGGGAGGTGTGAAGCCCGTGGACCAGGTCAACCAGCAGTCCCTTTCCTGCTCTGGGCCTCTTGTCCTTATTCACTGGCCTGGCCAGCCACGTCTCCTCGTCCTGTCCCCTCCTCCTCACCCCGGGCAGGGCCACTGGCCTCACACTTCCCTGTGGCTTCCGGCTTGCCCCTGCTTGTATGGGGGGTGGTCTTGGTTGGCGACCTCCCGGGTTTCTTTGCGCGCTCCGTTAGTGGGATTTCCAGGAGTGATCCGGAGGCACTGCGTCCCAGCTGGTGGCGAGTGGCCTCTGTGTCGCAGCCCATCACCTGGCGCAGACACGGAGCCGGGCTCGGGGAGACCCTCTGGGCCCTGCACCTGGGAGCCGGCATGCGTTGGCTCCCCTCCTCCAGGGGGGGGGGGTCACTGCCAGCCACAGCTCTCTCACACCTGGTCCTTCTCTGTCTGTCTTGCAGGTTTTGGGGTTTGAGATCGACGCCGTGAACTCTGTCCAGTTTTCAAACCACACAGGTAAGGCACAGGCTCAGCTGAGTCCCCTTAGAAATGTGGGGTCTTGTACCCCCATCTGACAGAGCTGGAGGGGCTGCCCTGTGTGAGGGTAGAGGGCTGGGGTCTCCCCTCTGCAGGGGGGACTGCCCACCTGAGGCTGGCCAGGGCAGGTGCGGTAACCAGGGCAGGTGGTGCCTCAGTTTCCCCCTGTAAAACAAGGACGTGATCCTAGCACCCGCTCTGTACGTGAGCTGCGCATGCCCCCCGTGAGGCCATGGCTGCCTGGAAGGCCCGTGCTGTGGGTGGGCCCTGATTGTCTCTGTTGGGGACCGGTGCCTGGGAGGGCACACGCATGGGGACCTGGAGGATTTCTGGGCAAACCTTGCAGTGAAGCTGCTGGCTGGAGAGTGTGTGAGGGGCAGTGCCTTAGAAGGCTCTTGTTAGAGCTGAGCCCCCTGCTCCCCGCACCCGCACCCATGCTCCCCACGGCCGCAGAGGCAGGGGGACAAAGCCTCCTTGGTTCCTGGAAGTGCCCCCACATTGAGAGATTGCTCTGAGTCCAGGAAGAACCTCCGGGCACAGAGGACTCTGACCGCCTGGGGCCCCCGGAGGCCCCGAGGGAGGTGCCTGGGCCTCAGCCCTCGGGAGGGATTTCTTGTGATTCTCCTGGCTGCAGTTTTTCCTGGAAGGGAGAGGGGGTGATACGCCATAAAAAAGGAGGGAAGAATTCTGTGTGCGTTTGGATGAAAAAGCTACAATTCGCCCTGGAAGTCCTTTTCCGCTTTCACTTGGCGGAGTGTGCTGGACGCTCTGAAATTTGAAGAAGTCCCAAAAAGTTTTGAGTCAACCCAGCAAACTTCCCTGCATCTCACATGTTTTTACTGGCTGTTTCCACCACCCTCCCTTTTTTCTCTTTCTTTTTAAAAAATATATATTTGTATTGATTTCAGAGAGGAAGGGAGAGGGAGATGGAAACATTCATGATGAGAGAGAATCATCGATCAGCTGCCTCCTGCACGCCCCACGCTGGGGATCAAGCCCGAAGCCAGGGCATGTTCTCTCACCAGGAATTGAACTGTGACCTCGTGCTTCATAGGTAGATGCTCAACCACTGAGCCCTGGGCTCTTTCTTCCTTTTATTTTTATTTATTTTAAAAATATATTTATTGACTTCAGAGAGAAAGGGAGGGGGAGAGAGAGAGACAGAAACATCAATGATGAGAGAGAATCATCGATCAGCTGCCTCCTGCACGCCCCACGCTGGGGATCAAGCCTGAAGCCAGGGCATGTTCTCTTTTCAGGAATTGAACTGTGACCTCGTGCTTCATAGGTAGATGCTCAACCACTGAGCCCCGGGCTCTTTCTTCCTTTTATTTTTATTTATCTTAAAAATATATTTATTGACTTCAGAGAGAAAGGGAGGGGGAGAGAGAGAGACAGAAACATCAATGATAAGAGAGAATCATAAATAAGCTGCCTCCTGCTCGCCCCCCACTAGGGATTGAGCCTATAATCCGGGCATGTGCCCTTGACCGGAATCGAACCTGGGACCCTTCAGTCTGCAGGCTGACACTATCCACTGAGCCAAACCGGCTAAGGGCTTTTTTTTGTTTGTTTAAGTAAATGAGCCAAACTGGCTTGGATACTAAATGATGGAATTAAACTTATTGGTGAATATTATGTTGTGCCGTAATGACTTTAGCTCAGCATAAGCAACGATGCGGTTCAGAAACTCCTGCTGCCCTTCGCAGGGGGAAGGGGAGGGGCCTTTCGGGCCTCGGTGGTGACGGCTCCGGCCTCCTGTGGCCCCTCAGGTGCCGGTGCTGGCTGTCCTGAAGGTCTGAAGCAGGGAGGCCTCTGCCTGCCCCGGGCGGGATGGGTGAGGAACAAACCACAGTTTGCCTTAGAATAAGGTGACCAGACGTCCCGCTTTTGGCGGGACAGTCCCGATTTTTAACAATTTGTCCCGCGGCGTTTTAAAAAGTCCCGATCTTTCAAAAAATCCGCACGTCTTTAAAACGCTGCGGGCTGAGCCGAAACCAGTTTGGCTCAGCGGTAGAGCGTCGGCCTGTGGACTGAAAGGTCCCAGGTTCAATTCCGGTCAAGGGCATGTACGTTGGTTGCGGGCACATCCCCGGTAGGGGGTGTGCAGGAGGCAGCTGGTCGATGTTTCTCTCTCATTGACGTTTCCAGCTCTCTATCCCTCTCCCTTCCTCTCTGTAAAAAATCAATTAAAAAAATATATATATATATATTTTTTTTAATATATTTTTTAAAAATATATTTTATTGATTTTTTACAAAAATCGATAAAAATATATATTTTTTAATATATTTTATTGATTTTTTTACAAAAATCGATAAAAAAATATATATTTTTAAATATATTTTTTATTGATTTTTTACAGAGAGGAAAGGAGAGAGATAGAGAGCTGGAAACGTCAATGAGAGAGAAACATCGACCAGCTGCCTCCTGCACACCCTCTACCGGGGATGTGCCCGCAACCAACGTACATGCCCTTGACCAGAATCGAACCTGGGACCTTTCAGTCCGCAGACCGATGCTCTACCGCTGAGCCAAACCGGTTTCGCCAAAATATATATTTTTAAAAAATTAAAAAAATAAAATAAAATAAAATGCCGCCAGACAAATTGTTAAAAATCGGGACTGTCCCACCAAAAGCAAGCCGTCTGGTCATCTTAGCACATGTGTCAAACACAAGGCCCGCGGGCCAAATCCGTCCCGCCAGGCCTTGCAATGTGGCCCGCACCGCGCTGTCATCACTGCACTCCGCTGCGTTTCCATCACAATGACAGTTTATGACTGTTCAGTAAACCATTCGGCCCGCGATTTAGGCTGGATTTTAGATTTTGGCCCCTTCTCTGATTGAGTTCGACACCCCTACCTTAGAGCCTCCTCGCCCACAGAAAAGAGCCTCCTGCATCCCATCTAGCCTTTGATGCCGTGTGGGGCCTGCCTGGCTAGAGATCCCCCAGACAGCTCCCCCTGTGGGTGACTCTGAGCACCCTGTCTCTGCAGCCTCATCAGAGGGCCTACAGGGGGAGGTCTCCCCAAGGCCCCCTCTGGGGCTCAGGTGCCAGCCCGTGGACCTGGAGTAGCCAGGTGATGCCTCGCCTTGCCCCGAGCCCATCTCTCTTCCCCTCACCCCTGCCCATGCCCTGCTGCTCAGAAGTGAGGCTGGTCTGGTTCGCAGACCCACTCCCTGTGGTAGGTAGTGTGGCACGTGGCACCTGGCACCTGAGGCCCAGGAGCTAGTGCTCAGGCCACAGTGTGGTTAGGAAGCTGGTCTCATAGAGGCCGTGCTCTGCTGTGGTGCCTGGCATCTGAGGCCTGGTGGGGGGCTGTGTGTCTCCCCCTCATCACTGCTCCGATGGGCTGAATTGTGTCCCCTCCAATTCATGTGCTGAAGCCTTAACCTCCAGCACCTCAGAGAATGACTCTATTTGGAGACGGGGTGTGTAGAGGGGATAAGGTTAAATGAGGTCATTGGGATGGGTCCTACTCCAACATGATGGTTGTCCCCATACGAAGAGATCAAGACACAGACAAGCATAGAGAGACAACCATGTGTGGACACAGGGAAAGGGGTCATCTAATCCCAGGAGAGAGGCCTTGGGAGGGGCCAGCCCCGCCCACACCTGGACCTCGGCCTCCAGCCTCCAGGACTGTGTGGGAGTCGCCCAGTCTGTGGAACTTGGTTTCAGCAGGACTCGAATATGCTACACGTGCAGTGGCAATAAACCAACCCTGGTCGGAAGGGGGTTAGGATAACGGAGGGGCAGGAAGGACTGTTCTTCCCACTCTGGGCCGGCAGCACTCTTGTGGCAGCCCAGCCTTCCTTGGGCAAACACCTGCCCGGGACACAGCCAGAGGCTGCCAGCATTTGAACATGAGCGCCGCTGGGGGCAGTCCTGCACTGGGAGGTCTTGGTCTGGCCCTGCCTGGCCCTCCTGATTCGGCTGACCCCGAGGGTCTCTGATGACTGGGGCCAATCAGGTTCTTCTACTGACAGACTCACCATCCGTGCCATTCACGCTGGTGTCTCTCAAGGGACATACAGATGCGCTTTTGCCCCAGTTGGGTGTCCCAGGGCCACGCTGCCTGCAGAATCGCTTTTTTTTTTTTTTTTAACATATTTTATTGATTTTAACATATTTTATTGATTTTAGAGGGAGAGAGAGAGACAGAGAGCTAGAAACATTGATGAGAGAGAGTCATCGATCAGCTGCCTTCCGCACACTCCCCACTGGGGACACGCCCGCAACCAAGGTACATGCCCCTGACCGGAATTGAACCCGGGACCCTTCAGTCCACAGGCTATACATTGAGCCAAACCGGTTTCGGCATGACAGTTGGAGTTGTTCCAGAATCAGGTTGACTCCTCATGCACATAGGCTGCCAGCAGAGGGCGCTGTCGCCCTTCTCCAGGCTGAGCAGCCTGGCTATGGGCGGTCTTAGTTAGTTCAAATCACCACCCATATGATGATCTGACAGGTACACCCAGTGGTCCATGCGGAGGGTCGTAGAGATAACTCTTCCGTGGGTTTTTTTGTTGTTGTTGTTGTTGTTTTTAATATATTTTATTGATTTTTTTACAGAGAGGAAGGGAGAGAAATAGAGAGCTAGAAACGTCGATGAGAGAAACATCGAACAGCTGCCTCTTGCACACCCCCTACTGGGGATGTGCCCGCAACCAATGTACATGCCCTTGACCGGAATCGAACCCGGGACCTTTCAGTCCGCAGACCGACGCTCTACCACTGAGCCAAACCGGTTTCGGCTCTCCCGTGGTTTTTACTTACGTGCTTGGAAGCACAGACTTTAGGGCCTCCCACTGCCATAAAGGACACCAGGAGGAATGCTCATGGGTGAAGGGTGGGGTGTCCATGGCGTGGCTCTGCCCCCGGTGAACTGGGAGTCCTTGGCCTGTCCCCATCTGAGCCTCTGGGGCAGGGCTCCACCTGGCAGGCGGGGCCCCTCAGGATGCTCACGTGTCTGTCTGCACCTGCGTACCTGTCGGGGACGGGAGCAGGCTGAACACCTGGGCCCATTTCTAATCCATGTTTGGCTCTTGGTCACGATTTGAGCCAAGACTTGCTCTGGCCGCATTCCAACCTTACATGGCGGTGGGGGCGGAGGGGGGCGCTGGGATGTGACAAGCCCTACCTGCCAGGGCGCCCAGATAACAGCGATCAAACGGCTCAGCCTGGATGGGGAAACGTGCACAGTAGACGCTGGCAAAGCAGGTGACTGTGACGTGTGTGGAGATGTCCCAGGGGCCCTCTCGAAAGGCAGGGAGAGGTGACCCGCTGGGTGAGCCCCGTGTGTCCTTTTCAGAATGTCCCTCTCCCCATCCTGTCACCGGACACGGGTTCCACAGCTGTCCGTGGCCGGCCCAGAGAGCTGATGCCCTCGCTGCCTTGGGTTCATTCCAGAGGGAACTGGCGGTGGGAGGTGTGACCCCTGATGCCAGGAATAACCACAGACGGTGTCAGCCAGGGTGCTGGCAGGGGCGCTCTGAGGCTGCTGGGCACCCACACGGACCAGCCCACTGAGACACCACGCCTGGGAGGTCTCAGTCAGCCCCTGCGTCAGCCCCTGGGGAGGGGACCATTCACCCCACCAGCGTCATCGAGGGTGTCTGGGCTGTGCTGGGCCATCAGGTGGAGCTGTCTCACCCGTGTGCTGTGTGCCGTGTGCCGTGTGCCATGTGCTGTGTGCCGTGTGCCTGGGCCCTGACCGCTCTGCTCTGCCCAGGCTACGCACACTGGAAGGGCCAGGTGCTGAATGCAGACGAGCTCCACGAGGTGTACGAGGGGCTGAAGCTGAACAACGTGAACAAGTATGACTACGTGCTCACGGGTAAGGGCCCGAGGGAGCAGGCGCTGTACCTGCCAGCCTGGCTGCAGCCGGGATGGACCCGGGAAGTCCCAGAGCACCCCACGCCCGGCTGGTCCCTGGTCCCTGCCTCCTTCGAGGAGGGAGGCACCTGCCACGAACGCCTGGTCCTGTCCACGCCAAGTCACACTGCCGGGCCCACAGGGGGGTTGCAGTGCCCGTGGGGTGGGACAAGTGGAGTGTTGGGAAGAAGTTGGGGTGAAACGCCCAAGTAGGTAACACTCTGCCGCCTGGAATGTTGGTCTTATTTATACCCACTCCCTTGGTTTAAAAAAAGTACCGTTTGTGTTTATATACGTGGTTAAAAGTGAATGTGTTTGTTATTGGATTGGACAGGACAGAAGAATGTCCCGTACACACCCATCACTGGGCTTCCTCCTCCAGGGAGGGGCCCGTGACCTCACGGGCTGCCTTTGTGGGGGGCCCTTGGTCTTCCCCCAGCGCAGGATGGCCTGTCTCCCTTTGCCGCGGTCGGTTGCTGGGAGCCTTGTTTTGTGAGGGTGGCCTGCTCTCCCTCCCACAGGGTACACGAGGGACAAGTCCTTTCTGGCCATGGTGGTGGACATCGTGCGGGAACTGAAGCAGCAGAACTCCCGGCTGGTGTATGGTAGGCGCTGGGCTGTCACCTGCTGGAGGGGGGGGGGCCCTGGGGCCTGTGCATGGGTATAAGGCTCCCTCTCGCATCCCAACGCCATGGTCTGCCTCCCAGCCTGTTCCCACTAAGCTCAGGGGGGCGGGAAACACCTTCACCAGGAACCCAGTGTCTTCGTGGGTTCGATTGTGGCCAAGAGCACGTACCTGGGTTGCAGGCTGGATCCCTGACCCCGGGCGGGACATGTGTGGGAGGCCATCAAACTATGTATCTCCCATCAATGTTTCTCTGTCTGTCTCTCCCCCTCCCTACCACTCTCTCTAAAAATCAATGGGAAAACATCCTCGAGGGAGGATTAAGAAAGTAAAAAAGTCCCGTGAAAGGCTCTTTGTTCCCCAGCTGCAGCCCTGGCTGATCCAATGCTCTTTTTGTCTCTGCAGTGTGCGACCCGGTGATGGGCGACAAGTGGGAGGGCGAAGGCTCCATGGTGAGTACGTCACGCCCGTGTGGGTGCGGGGAGCGCAGCTAAAGCAGGACACCGACCACTGATCTGCCCTGGGGGAGGCGGGGCCTCTGTCTGAGTGGGCAGGGCTGGCAGAGAGCTTTCCCATAAAAGGGCCAGAGAGTCGGTATCTTAGGGCCCTCGTCGATATCAAAGCTGCCAGTTTGCAGACCGACGGACGTGGCTATTTTCTGGTAAAATTTCATGCACGAACACAGATCTGAATTTTCTGTCATTTCCATGTGTCACGGCATGTGACCCTTCTTTAGACATTTCCCCAGCTATTAAAACATGTTAAAATTTCTCTCGGCCCATGAGCCGTACACAGACAGGCAGGGGGCTGGGCCGGGGCTCTCTGTCCCCGTGTGGAGCTCTCTGGGTCACCACACGCTGCCTGTCTCCGCAGTGGGGAGCCCGGGCTCACATGGGGTCCCCGAGCTGGACTCGAACGTCCCGGTCTCGTCGTCTCCTCCTCCGTGTGGGTCAGCCTGACCCTCTCTCCTCTGCCTTCAGTACGTTCCCGAGGATCTCCTTCCTGTGTACAAGGAGAAGGTGGTGCCGGTGGCAGACATCATAACGCCCAACCAGTTCGAGGCGGAGTAAGTGACTAGAAACGGCCAGAGCGTTCAGACCTCCCAGGGGGGACAGACACGGCGCAGGAAGCGTCCCCTCCTGTGGGTTCGGCCTCCCGGAAGGTCCTGCCTCGGGGGAGTGGCATCGGGCACCGGGGTGGGGCAGGCCCTCCAGAGTCGGAGCCACCCGCCCTGCTTCGTACCAGGGTGACGAGGTGACGAGGAGCCCAGGGCCGGGCCGGCTGCTTTCTGGCGTCAGCAGTAGCCTTTGGGAAGGGACATGTGGCTCTGGCAGGTGGCTGCTACAGGGAGGGAGTCCACGCAGCTGACATGGGCAGTCACCCTGAGCTCTGGAACCCACTCCCCAGATCGGAACGTGAGTCGGGAAGGCGTGCGCAGTCCCCTCTGCCCACTGTCAAAGGGCCCCACCTCATGCACTGAAGCACCGGGCACTGAGAGTGTAAGGGGCGTTTCCTGGCGCCATGGTGTGCAGCCAAGTGCCCAGTGGGTGACGATTGGCTCTGGTGGACCATCAGCTTGGTCCCCTCTGTCTTCGAGGCCTCTCCTTAAAGTCAGAGTGGGGGGACTCCGGACTCTCGGGTTCCCCTGGGTCAGGCCTGCCCATCGCCCTGAGGGCCTTGGCCTTTGGTGGGCTCCGTGAATGTGCACACAAGCCACTGGCAGCTGTGACTGTGGATGCGGGTCATCCTGCTGGTCCCATGTGCCACGGCGTGGGCCCCTGAGGGGCCGTGTGCTGCTGTCCTTTATGGTGTTACCTGTACACATTCACCACCATCTGGAGCTTCAGCACCCCCTGATGTGTGAGTTCCCGTTTAAAACTAAAGTTGACTTTTTTCTTTTCTTTCTTTTTCTTTTTTTAATATATTTTATTGATTTTTTACAGAGAGGAGGAGAGAGGGATAGAATACTAGAAACATCGATGAGAGAGAAACATCGATGAGCTGCCTCTTGCACACTCCCTACTGAGTATGTGCCCACAACCAACGTACATGCCCTTGACCGGAATCGAACCCGGGACCTTTCAGTCCGCAGGCTGAAGCTCTATCCACTGAGCCAAAACGGTTTCTGCTAAAGTTGACTTTTTTTTTTTTTTTTAATATTTTTTTATTGATTTCAGAGAGGAAGGCAGAAGGAGAAAAAGATAGAAGCATCAATAATTGAGAGAGAATCATTGATCGGCTGCCTCCTGCACACCCCCTCATGGGGATTGAGCCCGCAACATGGGCATGTGCCCTGACTGTTACCTCCTGGTTCATCGGTGGATGCCCAACCACTGAACCATCCCGGCCGGGCCTAAAGTTTGCTCTTGACCGGTCCCCATACACATCATGGTGGCCACTTGGTCCGTGATGGCCAACAGGCTCTGAGTTAGTTCCCTGTGGGGATTGGGAGGGGGGAGAGAGGAGGGTACCAGTGCCGCTGTCGCTTTGAGGACGTTCCAGGCAGGACCCAGCAAGCAGCGTCTCACCTGTGCGCGCCCGCCTTTCAGGTTGCTGACGGGCAGGAAGATCCACAGCCAGGAGGAAGCCTTAGTGGTAAGGACACCTCCCAGGTCCTTAGTGGGACAGGTGGCCTGCCCCCTGGGGAGGGGACACCGCTCCTGTGGGGATGGGAGACAGACACCCCAGGGGCCAGCCTCCTGCTGCCTGTCACCTAGACCCGGGGTCGGCAAACTGCGGCTCGAGAGTCACATGCGGGTCTTTGGCCCCTTGCGTGTGGCTCTTCCACAAAATATCATGGCCTGGGCGAGTCTATTTTGAAGAAGTGGAGTTAGAAGAAGTTTAAGTTTTAAAAATGTAGCTCTCAAAAGAAATTTCAATCGTTGTACTATTGGTATTTGGCTCTGTTGACTAGTGAGTTTGCCGACCACTGGCCTAGCCTGAGGGCCAGGAGGATGCATTGTCGGTTTCCTTTCTCACTCCATTGGTCACGTGCAGCTTCAGGCTGGCCAGGTTTGGGTTAACCCGCTATCTGCTCTGCTCCCGCAGGAGCCCTGTCTGAGCGCACGGGGGCGGCTGGGACAAAGTCCCTCAGCGGGAGTGGAGTGGGACCGCCTCCTCCCACTCTGGGGCCTCCGAGCCACATGACCTGGGTGGGAATGGGATGGGCATGGGCACAGGCACCCCTTGCTTGAGGACTAGAGGAAATCCACAGGGCCCGGGACGGGGAGGGGGCGGGGAGCTGGCCTGTCCCCTGTGTGCACGTGTGTGCATGTATGTGTGTGTGGGGGGGACACGTCTCCCACGGCCCACACTCAGCTCTAGAGCAGCGAGTGCCCACTCACATGATCACAGGCACTGCTTTGAGGCAGCTGCCCAAGGCAGACACGGCCTCCTCCAACTCTTAGAGCAAAGCCCAGGTAAAGAATGGCCATGCCTCGTGGCTCTGTGACCCCCAGCCGAGGCCCTGGGCTGAGAGAGGAGGGACGCGGCTGCTGGGCTGTGACGGGGAGAGCTGAATCCTAGCCTGTGTCTTAGAGTCCATACTGGTCCCGGCTCGAGAAGTTCCAAATGTGTGTGCACCATTCATGGTCTGCACGGGAACCTTTCCAGGCCCTCCGGTGCCCCCATAAGATGGTGCGGCTCCGCTGGCCGGCGCTGCCCATGGAGGCAGCTGATGCCCCTCCTGCCTCCGCCCAGGTCTCTCCAGGCCTGGCCCCTGCTCGGTCCAGCTGGTTCACTTTCTGAGGCCCGACTGGACCTCAGTGGGTATTCTGTCCCAAGGCCTCGTGCCCTGAGGGCAGGGAGCCTCGGCAGTGGATGTTCGTTGACTAAATAAGCGAGGGAGAGAGTGGCTTCCCGGAGCAGACAGGTGATGGGAGCCCAGCATTGCGTGGTGTTGGCTGTGTGTGGAGCCCAGATGAGGAAGGACAACTGGCCCAGCTGGTTGGCACCTTCCTGCAGAAGGTGGGCACCTGTAGGGTGCAGGCAGGGCTGGCAGGTGCGTGCCCTCAGGCTTCAAGCCGATCGAAAGGGGACGGTAGCTCTCACCTGGCAAAGCCGTCACTGGGCGGGCGGGGGCCAGACGGCGGGTTCCGGTCCTCAAACTCTTCCCACCCCTAAGCCAAACCCTGGCAGAGCGCGTGGCGGTGTGAGTGCCGCTGCGCGTGGCGGTGTGGCTCAGGGGGAGGGGCAGGAGTGACGGCTCCGGGAGCTCCCTGGCTGATGGCTCCCTGTGCCTGGCAGGTGATGGACGTGCTGCACTCGATGGGCCCCGACACCGTGGTCATCACCAGCTCCGACCTCTCTTCCCCTCGGGGCAGTGACTACCTGATTGTGCTGGGAAGCCAGAGGATCCGTGAGTCCCACTGCCTCGCCCTGCCCCTCCCCAGCACCGAGCCCCCTTCCTCTGGGGGTAGTGACTGTCTGATTGTCAGTTCCGAGTCCCATGCCCGCCCCACCCCTCCCTGCCCCACCCCAGCACTGAGCCCCCTTCCCCTTGGGGTAGTGACTGTCTGATTGTCATTCCCGAGTCCCATGCCCGCCCCACCCCGCCCTGCCCCTCCCCAGCACTGAGCCCCCTTCCCTGCAGGGCAGTGACTACCTGATTGTGCTGGGAAGCCAGAGGTCTGGGAGTCCCAGCTGCCCCGCCCTGCCGGGCCCCAGCACTGAGTCCCCTTTCCCTTGGGGTAGTGACTATCTGTGCATTTCCCAGTCCCATGCCCGCCCCACCCCTCCCTGCCCCTCCTCAGCACTGAGCCCCCTTCCCCTTGGGGTAGTGACTGCCTGATTGTACATGCCCGCCCCACCCCACTGTACCCGGCACTGAGCTCCCTTCCACACCTTTGCTCCGCACGCCCCTGAGGCTTGTGAGAAGGTTTGGAATTTCCTGAAGTCCGATCACCCCCAGCCCCAATCCTGAGGAAGAGGAGACTAAAAATGAGGAAGGAACCCAGGAATCGAGGGCAGGGGAGCATGGGGAGCCGCCACCGCCCCATGGCCGCCCAGCAGCATGATGGGCCGGCAGCATGAGGATAGCGTGCCGACTCACCTCTGGGCCACAGGGAGCAGCCCCGCCGGAGCCAGGCTCAGGGAACCAGAGGTCCACACGCCTGACCGCCCAGAGCTGGGCTGGGCCGACCTCACTTCGAGCTCTGCTTGCTCATTGATTCCTCCTGCGAGTGCCGCCGGGTGGTGAGCCCGCTCAGCGCTAACCCGACACAGGGCAGGTCACCCCCACTGCCCCTGAGAGCAGCGTCCGCCTGCTCCCTCTGCACCGTGTGCAGGAGCCCACGCACTCACACACGCACTCACACACTTGCACATGCTCATTCACAAGCTCACACTCTCGCACACATACTCACACGTCAGTAAGTTCACATGGTCCCTCCTCTCCCTCTGCACTGTGTGCAGGAGCCCACACACTCACACACACACTCACACACGCACTCACACACTTGCACATGCTCATTCACAAGCTCACTCCCGCTTGCACACATGCTCACACACGCCAGTAAATCACATGGTCCTGACAGCTCCAGGCGCCCTGGTTATGCAGGTTCCCTCCACAGAGCACACCATCCGGCCCCTCATCAGCTGCGCAGTCCCCCCAGGCCGTCCTGACTGTGGCCAGCTGAGGCTCCCATCTTTCCCTTTCTCCGCTGTGGGGGTTTTGGGGGCACCGAGTGGGGGGCCCTGAGCCCCGGGGTCAGTCGGAGTGAGCCTCCGTGGGTGATATGACCCTTCCGCCGGGTGCCCTGAGCAGTGCAGGGGCTGAGCAGGCAGGAGGGCAGGCTGGGGCCCTGGGCTGGCCCTCTGCTGGTGAGGGTCGGGGGTCCCAGCGGGCCATGCTGTCCCCCAGGGCACCCCGATGGCTCCGTGGCGAAGGAGCGCATCCGCATGGACATCCACAAGGTGGACGCCGTCTTCGTGGGCACCGGGGACCTGTTCGCTGCCATGCTCCTGGCGTGGACGCACAAGCACCCCAACAACCTCAAGGTCAGCAGGGCACGCCCCTCCTGCCCCATTGACCTCTTCCTCTCTGGGGGGAGTGGTCATGTCCCTCCGGAGCGCGGAGGCTGTGAGGGTTCCGAAGCTTTGGTTTCCATGTCCTGCCCCGCAGCCGGCTGAGTCACAGCCCCATCCCTGCTCGGCGTCTCTCTCTCTGGTTCCCAAGCAGGGCGCCAGGCCCAGCGCAGAAAGGCTATGTCAGCAGAAATCTGAGGCTCTCGCTCAGGGCTGAGGTGTGCTGCCTCGGTATCGGGGAGCCTCCGTCAGCAGAACAGTCAGTGCGAGTGTGTCCTCCAATACAGTCACTGGGCTGGTTTGGTAAATTGGGGTGCGGGGGTTTCCTGTGCACCCTGTGGTCCAGCTCAGGGCTCCCGGGCGTGCTCTTTGACCCCCTGCTGTCATATCGTTCTGTCCGATGCCCCATCAGCCAGGCCTGTGCTCCATCAGGAACCTGAATGTGGGAAGGGCAGACTTCTGTCGCGTGGGGTCCCCTCGAGGAAAGAACAATTCGGAGCTCGGGATCTGGAAACGGATGCCTCTCAGGCTGTCGGCAGAGCCCCTGGAGGGGCCCCAGCTGGGCTCTGTTTGTGCAATGCAAGGCTTGCCTGGGGTTCCTCCCCTCTCACTCATCGAAGCCAAAATGTGCCATCCCCTGGCTGGCTTCACACCCTCCTGCCCGCCCCCCCCAAAACCCCCCTGAAGGCCAGCCTGCTGAGAGTGCAGACCTGCCAGCCTAATTGGCGGCAGCGGGAGCTCCATCTGCCCAGGCAGTGGCACCGTGGTGCCCGGAGGGGGGCTCGCTGCTGGGCCTCCGAAGGCCGAGTTGGTTTAGGAGGGGCCCTGGGCCCCGGAGTCAGGCAGGCAGTTCCTGTGTGCTTCCCTGGCACCTGCAGAGCCCCGAGTCTGACTGTGATACTTAGGCTGTGAGCAATGACCTTGGCCGACCTCGGGGCACAAGTTCTTTCCCATGTAGAGTCTTTATGCTTAATTCATCCCAGAAACACTTGCTAAGCATCTACTACGTGCCAGGCAGTATGGACGGCCCTGCGTCTCAGCCCCTCCCCAGAGCCGTCTGGTCCAGAGGGGGCAGGTCGGTGATGCAGGCACCTACTTAGCTCTCTTATTCTCTGGGGGGAAGGCCCAGCTAGTTGGGGGAGCATGTGCTGGCCAAGCCAGCGCCCTGGTGACTCCGGGTGGAGAGAGTGCCCTCGCGGGCAGCTGTGGGCAGCACGGTGAGCGGACAGTCTCGAGGTGGCCAGGCACAGTGGTCCCCCTCCCCGCAGGTGGCCTGTGAGAAGACGGTGTCAGCCATGCACCACGTTCTGCAGCGGACCATCAAGTGTGCGAAAGGTACCACCGCGGGCCCTGGGCGCCTTTGCAATCCCGAGAGCCTCCGGGGCGGTGGGAGGGGGAGAGGTGGCACCTGCGCAGCTGTGAGTGGGGTCCCCAGGGCTCCCGCCGTCCCCCTGGCCTGGCCTTTAGGAACTGCGGCAGGGGGGTGCAGCCCGGGGCTCCCTCCGACGGGGAACTCCGAGGCGGTCTCCCCGCTCCGCCCCGATGCTCACGCACTGTCTGTTCTGCAGCCCAGGCTGGGGAAGGACAGAAGCCCAGCCCGGCCATGCTGGAGCTGAGGATGGTCCAGAGCAAAAGGGACATCGAGAACCCAGAGATCGTCGTCCAGGCCACCGTGCTGTGAGGGCTCCTGCGCCCCTTGCTGGCGCAGCGCCGGCGTCTCCGTCGTCACCCCTGTGAACATGTAACGTCTGCCTTAGAGCTGTGACCGAAACTTGATATTTTTTTCCCTTTCGTGAGTGTCCAGCATCCACTGGTCTTAATTGTGAAAACGTGCCAGTCGTGCTTTTTAACAAATAACACAGTGATCGCAGAAATCTGTAATTTGGAGACCCAGCCCCCCTTTCCCACGAAGGCTCCTGGGCCTCCCTGAACACCAGCTCTGTGGTCACCCCCTTGGGGGGCGTCCTCCCCAGCTGGGGGGCGGGGGCATGGAGGAAGGGGCTGCTGCCTGCAGGGGTTGCCCCCTGTGCCCTGTGGCCGGGCCGGGGCGGGCCGGTGTCTATGTGTCTCTGAGAACGAGTGTGATGTTCCCATCCGCATCGGACGGTTTATGCCAAGTCCCTTCCTTGTCGTCCCGACCTCTCCCTCCTGGCTCCTGCGTCGGGATTCTGTTTCCTATGTCGCTGCTCGGTGGGTCGTGGGGCATCTCCGATGTCCTGCTCTGTTTCCCCACATGGACAGGTCCGTGCCGGTGGCCCAGACACACACAGGGGTGCACAGTCCCTTTGGCGGGGACCTTCCAGGACCCCGAGAATCCAAGTCCACAGAGTATCAGCGGGACCGCCCTGTAACCCACGAGAGTCTTCAGGGACCAGCTGCACGAGGCGCAGAGATGCCAGGGAAGGGACTGCCGAGGGGTTGGGGAGATGCCCCCTGGGCTCCTTTTGGAAATCTCGCCGAGTTGGTGACACAACAGCGTGTCACCAGCTGCTGGTGAGGAGCGCGCCCCGCTGGGGAGTTAGCGTGCGGACAGGTGCGGGCACAGAGCTGGGCCCTAGGCCCCGACACCAGTCCAGGTGTCCACTGCCAGCATGACCGCCTTGGCTCCACTTGTCCAGAGTTTTGGGGTACCCTAGGCTTGAAGACTCAACCTGCCTGGATCTCCACACCCTGCCCCCTAGCCTCGGAGCCCACAGCCTGGAAGGGAGACACAGGGTGTGGGGCCCCTTGGGCTCCTGGGAGAGCAAACTCTCCGAGGCCAGCCCCTGTGCCCGCGGTTCCGTGCCCACGGGGGGCCCGCACGGCTCCTCGGCAGTCCATCCTTCGGTTTGTAGAAAATGCCCGAGAACAAAGAGCGGCCCCTCTCCGTCGAACTCCCGCACCACGGCCCGGTCTCCCTTCCCCACTGTGACTTCTGAATGTCTAACTCGCACACTGTCGTGCTCTCAGTGGCCGTGCACAGGGTCAGGGCGCCGTGCCCCTGGCTCCTGGTCCCCAGCACCGGGCTCCTCTGAGCCCCTGGGCGGAGCCTGGCCTCCTGGCCCCTGAAGGGCCCAAAGGTCCAGGAGGAGGAAGGATGGCCCGCAGCCAGACGGGAGGCAGCCTCTCCGATGGCACTCACAGGGACCAGCCCAAGCCACCCAGGGCCCTGGGTGTGTGCAGCACATTTAATGGGAAATACTACCACTGCCAAGTAGGGCTGGAGAAAGGCCAACGATAAGGTTTTTTTTATTTCAATAGTGAGAGCCAGTGTAGGGCCGGGCAAGGGACCAGGTGTGCCTGCCCTGCAGGAGATGGCGAAACCCGCCTGGAAGCTGGTATGGGTGCTGGGCTTGCTGCTTGTGTGCCGGGAACTTGAAGGGAAGAGCACGCTGGCAGGCTCTTCGGTTTTCAGAGGCGTGGCCCCACCTGAGGGCTCATTCTCTTACTTCCCACATGCTTCAGAGAATGACGGGATCTGTTCCTCCCAAAGCTGCTGCAGGACCACGGACTCCGGTGTCCCGGAGGCTTGCCCTTCGGCTGTACAGCCCTGACCACGAGCAGGCAGGGGCCCCGGCCACGAGGAGATGGAGACAGGCTGGGCTGTCTGTACTGTGAGGACGGACTTGGGGGCCTGGGAGTGTCTGCAGCGTGCAGAGCTCCCGTGGGAGGCCGGGCCCCGAATTCCCAGGCCCGTGTTGCTGTCTGGGCTCGTCTCCACACGCACTACACACACACACACACACACACACACACACACACACACACACGCTCCCTGCCGCGCTGGCGGCAGAGGCCCTGGGCTGCCCACGTGTAGAATTTCCCAACCTTGGTTCCTGGCAGTGCTTTTTGATACAAATTGGGTCCAAATTAGAATTGATTTTTGTTTTTACTTTGCATAGCTTAGCAACATGCAAACTGATGGTAATTTATGTTCAGGTGGGAGATTGTTGTCAGAGTGCAGATTTCGAGACGTTCCAGTGTTCCAAACCTCCTCCTGTAGACCTTCCAGATGAATTCCAGACGATGATTCCCTCTTCGAATCAGTCGCAAATCATTGCCAAGTCTCGCTGAGGTGACTGTGTTGTCTGCGTTCCTTTTGCAATATATGTCAGTGATTGTGAAACGATGCTTTGATTGTCTTCCTGTTCTTACACTTGTTCCGTTTTCCAATGGCCTAAGCCTGGCCTGGCGCACCTGCTCTGAGTAAGAGGAGGGTGTGTCAGTGTTGGGATTACGGGATATCCAGGGAACCCGTGTTCACTCCTCCGTTGACATGTACACAAAAGGAGGGAAGCCTGTTCTGACCGCTGGGCCGCCACTGCGCACACGCCCTCTCCTTGTCCTTCCTGCCCTTGGAGGGGATCAGCTGCCTGAATGGGTGTCGGGTCCACACCTGTGTGAGTCAGAGACACCGTGTGAGTGTATTGTGCTCCGTGGGAGAATAGCCAGGAATCCGTGTCTTCCTTCTCTGCCGCCCACCTAGTCCCATGGACCTCCTTCACCCACCCCTTTCCCTGGAGCCCCCACCAGTCCCTACCCGGGCTGGGAGGAGGACAGGGGAGTTTGTGACCGAGCAGAGTGGAGTATGTGCAGATGGGGACGTTGTGAGTGAGGTCCGCTCTCTGAGTCTGGGTGGGAACCAGGCGGCCCTGGTCTCCATTGTGCCCACCAACAGAGCAGTGGGGTGGAGCCCACCCGTTTTGATGCCACATTGGGGTTCCCTTCCCATCATCCTCTGAGGCTCTTGTGTTAGGGCTCCCTGGAGAGCCAGCTCCTGTGCCCCTGGAGGGAGCGTGTCAGGTGTACAAGCTAAGTGGGGCCCCTCAGAAGGACCCCGAGCCCTGGAGAAGGTGGCTCTGGGAGGCCAGGCCCATCGCCCGAAGCCAGGGAAGCCTTAACCTGTGGCCCCGTTGGCCTGGATGGACGTCTTTCCCCCAGGAGAGCCCCTGCTGCCGGCAGTTCTCCCCTGAGCACAGGGATCGAGGGTGGCGCATGTGGCAGCGTCGGGGTCTGTGTGCTGCAGGCGGCCGCTTTGTGGCGGGTGCAGCATCGGGTAGCCGGCAGGTGTTGCGGTGAGAAGAACAACATGAGAGCCTGTGTTTTTACAGAGACCCTTGTCCTGGCGAAGGGAGGTGTGGATTCTGGTTTCAGAATCCAGCCACACATTTCCAGTCTCTGCTAGCAGGGGGACACGGCGAGCGCAGAGGGAGAAGGTGGTGGGCTGGGAGGGGTCTGGGCCCCCCTTGGTGGATGGAAAACATTAGCTCTGCTTCTGGGGGTGTTTCTTCAGTGTGTCAGTCTCTGTCCGGCGATGGGAGCCAGGCTGTGCGTTCTGTGGTGATGCCCAGGAGGGACCCTGCGTGTGTGTGTGTGTGTGTGTGTGTGTGTGTGTGTCCCCATTGTGCTCTGAGGCTCCTGCCAGCATCACCCATCGCCACTCGGGCTTCTCGTAGCGCATGTGTCTTCCTGTGGGCATCTGCACTTTATCCTCAGTACAGAGTGTTTTCTCAAACGGATTAAAATACAATGTCTTACAAGCCACATTCCTGCCTTTCATTCGGGATCTGAGCTCACCACAGTGTGTTCATTCCGTTGGTAAGACAGAGCTCGGTGGATACTGTGAGGTCTGACTTAGGGGGTTTTTAAAGCTCGGTGGATACTGTGAGGTCTGACTTAGGGGGTTTTTAAAGCTGTATGAGTGGGAGGCTCGTCCTAGAGTTGTCTTTTTAGATGCTGGCAGAGGAGACGGGTCTTTTAAAAGCATTTCCACTGTCCAAGCCCCGTGGAGTCTGTGCTGCAGCGAGGCTTCTGCCAGCCACTGGTCAGGGTGACTGGAGCCTCAACCTGCGCCCGCCTCCGTCCCAGCCCTCCACCACGGCAGGCAGCTTCTGATCTTCGTGTGACGGGAAGCCCATTCGGCAGGAGCTCCTTCCTGTGGGGCACTCGCCATGGCAGGACATCGTGCCTGCAGGTCGGCCTCTGGAGAGCGAGGCCAGCCCTTCCCCATGGCACCCCCCGAGCCTCCACTGCAGCCCCTGCCCTCGCGATGGAGCTGCAGATGTTACCATTTAGGGAACTGGAAAGGAATCCCCATCTCCGTGTGGACTGGGTGATGGTCTGAATGTTCTAACCTTCTGGCTGTGCCCCTGCTAATGTGGAGTTGTGATCGGCATGTCAATCAGTGATTGTAAAACTGGCCCAGCAGGTCAGAGCTGTGACCGGGAGCCCAGCCCACGCTGCCCTGGGCCTCCCAGGCGAGGAGCTTGGATCCGGAGGCTGCTCGGGGGTGTGGCCAGCCTGGGAGCGAAGCACAGGCCCGGGCCCATCTGTGAGGGGACGATCTCTGTGAGATTCAGTCAGTGGCTGCATCGGCCCCACGGTGACCAGCCCTGCCCGCTGGGAGAGGGGGCCCGTGTCTGTAAATGTAAAACAGCTCACCATTGTAGAGGCCTGTCTGTGTGCTGCTCCTGTTGACTTATGATTCTCCACAAATAAATATTTTCATGCAATCATGGTGAAGCATGAGGAATTCTTCTCCACGGGATTCCCTTTTCTTAATCATCCACGCAGTGCCCACGCTGTGGTAACAAGCCGTGGTCACTGCTCTCCCCTCATCATCCTTCTCTTTAAGAAAATATGTCCTATTTAATAAAAGAATAATATGCAGATTGACTATCACTCCAACACACAAGATGGCTGCTCCCATGTGGCCAGAGATCCTGCCCCAAGTGGACACAAGATGGCCACCACAAGATGGCCAGCAGGGGAGGGTAGTTGGGAGGGACCAGGCCTGCAAGGGAGGACAGTTGGGGGCAATGAAGCCTGCAGGGGAGGGCAGTTAGGGGCAAATAGGCTGACAGGGGAGCAGTTAGGGGCAATCAGAAAGGCAGGCAGGTGAGCAGTTGGGAGCCAGTAGTCCTGGGTTGTGAGAGGGATGTCCCAGATTGGAGAAGGTGCCGGCTGGGCTGAGAGTCACACACCCCCGTGCACGAATTTTGTGCACCGGGCCCCTAGTGTATTTGTGTGTATTGTGTGTATTTCAGAGAGGAAAGAAGAGGGAGAGAGAGATAGAAACATCAGTGATGAAAATCAGATTGGATGCCTTCTGCATGCCCCCACCACTGGAGATAGAGCCTGCAAACTGGGCGTGAACCCTGACCAGGAATCAAACTGACCTCCTGGTTCATAGGTCGATGTTCAAACATGCTGGCTGGGCAAACTTCTCCCTCTTAAAGAAAGGGCCTGCCCTGCCCTGCCCTGCTCACCGTGGCCCAAGTCCCGTCCCTACCAACCCACTCTGGTGCCCTACTCTCAGGGTTTCTGCTGCAACCCCTCCCACCCCCTCCCTGTGATCAGGAGGGTGGGGCTCCCTTTCCTGGCCCATCCCTGCGAGATTCAGAGGACAAGCCCTGGTCATTGATCAGGTGTTACTACCCCTTCTGGGTTCCAATTCCTTCACACCCGGGTGGGGACAGCTCTGGTCCTCTAGCCCAGCAGGTACTATACACCCTCCCACATCTTTGTAGATGGATCCTCAGGTCATCCCCAAGGAACAGGCTTTATGACAAAGGCACCCGACTCTGCCTCTCAAACCCACTGTGACCGCCCTGTGACTGTGTCCCTGCATGGACAGCTGGAGAATTAGGGCCTGTGACTCTCAAGGGTGGGCAGGTCCCTGTATCGCTGTGTTCTTGGTGCCGGGGAAATAGAAGGCACTAACCAGTGACTCGAGTGCTTAGTAAAAGGGATGGGGTGTCAGCACCTCGGGGACGTGGAGGGAGGCTATGCCCTGAAGGGCTAACTGGCAGGCCACGTACCAGACTCTAAAAGGCATCCTGTAGAAGGGAGGTCGCTGCCAGGAGACCCCAGGTGGCCCTGGGGAACCAAGGGCAAGGGCGTCCCCACAGGTCAGCACCCAGAGCCCAGGGTGAGCAGAGGAGAGGCTGGGCCTGGTGGGCAGATGGAAGAGCTCAAGCCCAGCATTTGTTCCCCAAATCTCTGCCAAAGGGTTCCCCCAGACTGGCTCTGGCTTACTGCCTGGTGCTGTTTTTAGTGAGGTGAAATTCACAGGAAGTACACCCAAGTATCTTCAACTGCACTGCTCAGGGCATTTGCACCTCCCAGCATGCGTAACTGTCACCTCTTTCCTGTCACAGATGCCTTGTTGCCCTGGCACAACCCACAGCCATTAAGCAACCCCCCACTAATCAGGCAGAGCAGGGCATGGCTGTCAGCTCTGCTTAGCACCCTGAATGCCATCTCCCCTGCCGGGCCCAGAAAGTCCCCAGGTGGGAACTGTGTTCGGTTCTCTGTTCAATGCATGAGGGTGTCATGAAAGCTTTATTCTTCCAGTTCATGGAGGGATGGGGACGCATGCCAGGGTTCTTTTCCCCCAGCCTTACAAAGGGTTCAGCATTCTGGAGAAACGCCTGCACGTACTGTAGATGATTAAGAAGGAGTCCGTGAATGAAAGATAATTTTGAGAGGAATTGGGGTTCAGAGGAGCTTCCAGCTAAAGGAGCCAGAAGACACTCCTCCTTAACTAAGGACCCTGCTTTTATTAAACACAATTTGTCCCAAGGCAAGGTGGAAATATACATTTCAAAGGATATGGTATCAAAGGGTTTACAGGGATTGTCACTTTTGGGGAATAGCCTACTGCTTGTTCAGGTGTTTGGCCAAAAGAGGCAATAAAATGCCCTGAGCTGTCTGGCAGTTAACAACCATCCTATTCAGGTTTGGGGGAAGTGCCGTTTAGCCCTTAGGTAAACTACATGTGACTCAACCCTGTTGAGCTCCCCAAGCTTCACCCACCCTTTGGAAAAACTCTTGTCATTAATTACACGCTGGAATTGGTTCTCAGCAGACACACACACACACACACACACACACACAGCTCACTATGCAGAATTACTCACTGCTGCTCTCCAGGGTCCGCATGCTCACCGTCCCGCCCTTCCATGCTCCTGGTGACCTAGGACACAGACAGCCTGACTGTGGCACAAACCGCCACATGCCCCAGGGGAGCCAAGAGGGGCTCAGGAATGTCAGACTGACACTAACCCTCAGGAACACACACTGAGTGGCCAGATTATTAGGCAAATTGTAAACCGCATCGTATGGGATATGGAAGCCGAAGGCCTGTTCGAACACCTTTGCTGTCTGCAGTCACCAAGATAAAACGTCTCTAATTCGCACAGGAACACAAGGATTGGACAGTTGAGCATTGGAAAAAAGTCACGTGGTCCGATGAATCACGTTTCCAGTTGCATCATGCAGATGGCAGAGTGAGAATTTCGCAGAAACAGCATAAAAGCATGCTCCCCACATGCATGAGTACAACCCTTCAAGCTGGTGGGGGCAGTGTTATGGCTTGGGGCATGTTTTCCTGGCATGATTTGAGCCCTTTAATTCGTGTGAAACAATGTCTGAATACCATACCTAAGTATCATTATTGATCAAGTTCATCCTGTCATGTGGATGGTGTATCCCAATGGAGATGGCTTCTTCCAACAAGACAATGTGCCATGCCACAGTGCTTGTATTGTGCAGGAGTGGTTTCAAGAACATGAGGGAGACTTTACCTTGCTTAGGTGGCCCCTACAATCATTTGAGCATTTGTGGGACCAAGTTAAAAGAGCCATCAGGCAGCAGGTTCCACAACCATCAAATCTCACAGACTGGACAGGGCTATTCATCAGGTACTGTGTCAGATTCTTCACATCACCTTTCAACATCTCGAGGAGTTAATGCCAAGAAGAATCGCCGCAGTACTGAAGGCAAAAGGTGGACCCACGAAGTACTGATGGGGTGGTCATAATAATCTGGCCACTCAGTGCATGAATTTGTGCATGGGTGGGGGCCTGCCAGCCTGGCCAGGGGAGGGGACATGAAGGGTTGGCTGGCCTGCTTGCTGGTCAAACTCCTGTTCAAGGGGACAATTTGCATATAAGCCTTTTATTATATAGGATATACATGGAGTAGCCAGATTTTTATTCATTCAGAGATCATCATAATCTGGCCACTCATTGTATTCTACTTTGACCCTGAGTGACACAGATAGAAATTTCACCAAACTCATAACCATTATTGCTTGTCTCATTTTCAGTTCTTGTAAGTGTATTTACAGTATCACATGATCTCACTCATCTAGGGGAAATGATGAACAAGAACAGACCCAGAGACGAGGAGGCATGGATCAGACTGTCGGACCTCAGAGGGAGTGTAGGGGTGGGTGGGGATGAAAGGGAGAGATCAACCAAAGGACTTGAGTACATACATATGAGCCTAACCAGTGGTTGAGGACAACAGGGGGGTGGGGGCATGCGTGGGGATGGATCGGGGATGGGAATGGGGCGATGAGGACAAAGACGTCATACCTTAATCAATAAAGAGATCTAAAAAGAAAGAAATTTCACCCAACTGTCATTAACCCTATGCTGTCAGGGGCACTCTTTAATTCTATTTCACACAAACATGGGGCAAGCCAGCCAGGTACTGACCACACGGGTGGGCAGGACCCCTGCTGAAACAGGCAGGCCCTCCCAGATGCTCCAGGTTATAGCAGGCGCTGCACAGCCTCCCAGTGCTCAGGGCAGCCGGTGTGCACAACCCTTTGTCCCTGCCCTGTGACCGCTGCTACAGAAACAGTGTGACTGTCTGAGCACATGTAGAACTCACGGTCAAGAATCGGGTTTACTCGAATCTTTTTACTTATGGGGGGCAACCCAGGCCTGGAGACAGAGTGCAGAGTACAGGCAGCGGGGTGCAGAGCTGTACTTGGAACAGACACCTGGGTCCCTGGGTCTTCCACCCACTTGCTGGGACCTGGGGCAACCCTGCTGGGCTCTCCTCCTCAGGTGGAGGGGCCTCAGCTGGCTCAGGCTGGCACGTGGCTGTGAATATGGTGGTTATGGCTTCAGATGAAGAGAAAAAAATACACGACAAAGGAAATTTGCAAAAACTTAAAAATGTATTTATTTAGAGATCACCTAAGCCCTCTTGGAAAGCAATTCCGTTAAGATCATTGATTGGGAGGAAAATCACGCTGTTACAGTTAGAAGCAGAGACTCCAGATTGACGCAGAGGAGCACAGAGATGCCGCTCATTTAGGACCCCGGCACGCGACCACGTGGCAGAGAACCACGTGGCGAAGGTTCAGTTCAAGAACCAGAACTAGAAGTAGGTGAGCTCGTCCTGCTTGGTCTTGTTGGTCTGATAGTCGTGCAGGGCCAAGGCCTTGTTTTCATGAGGGAGACTCTCATACACGCGGATGTGCACGAAGTCATCATCTGCAACTTGAACCTGGGAAGAGAGAGGCGAGTGAGGGGGGCAGGTGCTGCCTCTGACCCAAGTCCCCGTGCCTGGCGGGCTGCGTGACAAAGGCCCTGAGAGCCTGGAGGCCGGGTCCCTTCCGGGCATCAGCAGCTAGGGTGGGGACATTCTCATCTTCCTCCTTCGGGCGCAGTGGACACCCAGCACCCCGGCCAGCACCCTGGGCTCCTCA